GCACCAGTGCACGAAAACGTAAGCAGTTTCCCACAAGCCTGCAGCACAAACGCAGTGGGTACTCTGCCTCAGAAGCAGTGGCAAACTGCCATCCAGAAGGGGAGAAGGTCACTGACCAGGGGGCATGTATGTGATCTCGCGAGCAGTTTATGGCCAGGGGTTTGAGGCAGGCTGCTGACGTCAAGAGGGCCGTGCGTTTATCACGCAGACCCCCGTGCATGCAGGCGGAGAAAGTGACAAAATGGAGCATGTCGAACCAGAGCAGAAAGGCCTGGCACTTGAAGCGAAGGACAAAGACCCTGAGCAAACGCCATGTGTGTGCGCGAACTGGATTTTCAAGGCTGAAAAGAATGCTTTGCTTCCAACACATGTGTATCACCTGAACAGAGAACTCGGCAAGGAGGTTTGCACTGGTAACCTTGGCGAGGGAGGTGCCGGTCAGCCCTGGTAAACCTAGTGGAAATAGTATGCTCCGGAGAGGCACGGTGGTTTTTCGCGGGCCAGTGAGCTGGTATCACAAGGCAATGCTATGTGAATGAAGGAGGGCGGCCGTGAGGCCCACCTAGTGAACAGGCATGATTGAGCATCTTTGCTGGTGAGGTCGAGCAAGCAAAGAGGAACACAGGGCACATGTCGATTGCTTGTGTGATCGACTGCTACCACGTCAAACCCTGCACTCTGGGCGGCCAGGGAAAGCTTTGCGCTTCCAGCAAAGAGCTCATAGAACACGGGGGCTGAGGAGGCTGAGCTGCTCGGCACACGGGTTGAGGGAAGGTCTAAACCACTAGAAGGGGGATCAGGGACCCCGGGACTAACTAGACCCAAAGATGGAGATTGACTACCCGGAAGATGGAAGTCGCACGACATGAGAAAATTGCGGTCGGCTTGGCCAAGGCGACAAGAGTCTCTGATAGAAAAGGCGATCAGGATGGTCCGTTGGCCCTTCCAAGGTTGAGAGCAATGCTTGCGGCGCCTGGCATCAAGGTAAACTGGTTTCCCCAACAGCAGAGGAAGCAAGCTTCCACGCAAGGTGTGAGCCCCATGCTGCAGAAACAAGGACCCTTTTGGATCCTCAGTCCAGATTTCACCGTTGGTGAAGCTGGAAAGTGCGACTATGCAATTAAGATGAGACTGGCTGTTGCGCGAATCAGAGCGGAGCTCTGCTTTGCAGTTCCGCGAATGGTCAGCGTTGTGAATTCATGATTGGGCGCAACTTGCCGTACGTATGAGGCAATGGCCCGTGTGGCGCATGGGAAACGTGTGCTAGAGCGGCGGACGCCGCAAACTCCACCATGTACGAAAGCCCCCACTGAGAAGGACTTGGAGTCGGACGCCGGCTTCCCTCTAGGAAAAGGCTCACCGGGCAAAAGATCTAAAAGCTTGGAAAGACAGCCAGGACTGATGCTGGGCTTACACAGGAGAGATTGGGCAAACTCTTCAGCACGATTAACAAGATTCTCAGGCATGCTACAACCTGGAGAGGATTCTTCAGGTGCTGAGGGCAGCGCATGCACAGGCGGATTGAAGCCTTCAGAAAGGGCACTTACGGCCCCTGCTGGGACTTGCAATGGCCCGTCGGAGAGTCAAGAGCCTCCATGCGTGCAGCTGGGCACAAGGCCTGTTGCAGCCTTTCTTCCAGCAAACATGGAAGCCAAATTTACACCTCTTGCCAGGCTTAGCAAAACTGCAACCTTTGGTGTTGAAGTTGCGGCAACAAGGCTTGTTGGCGTCGGTGAAGGCGGAGCAGTCACTTGGAACCTGAAGATCAACCTTTTGCTTCTTAGTGGGAGGGGGAGTGGATCCCTGCCCCGGAGTTGCCTTAGCTGGCTGAGGTGCCTCAGCCTGACGGGCGCGAGGCAAAGGCTGCAACAGCAAGCGAACCTCTGAGGAGTTCACGCGCGCATTGATGGCCACATCGACAGGCTTAGAGTTATCTGCTTTCATGGCGACTGAGCCTCGAGCGGCTTCACTGACGAGCTGCCACAACTTCTTGTCTGCTTCTTGGACTTGTTCAGCTGTGATGGCTTGGTACATCTTTGGGGGCTCCCTCAACATTTCAGCGAAGAGCAGCTCAGACCATTTCTCAAGGGTAGTGTACTCCACCATACGGGTAAGGTCGTATGCGAAGGCACGTCGTTGGAGCGCTCGTCGGAGCCTGGCGTTTCCAGTCAGTCTTGCTTCCGTGTCATCATTATTTTGCCTGGCTTTTAGATTGCCAGATGCATCCAACTGGAAGGTCACAACCTTTTTGATATTGGTAGACTCCTGAGCACGGCTTGTCGGCTCGTTATCGAGAGTCATTACTACTCCTGAGAGGCGGCCTTTCTGAAGAGCGAGCCTTGATGAACGCTCCGCCATGGGGAGCTTCCTTGGCTCACTGGTGTCTGTCCGCTCGACGCGGGCACGCATATCGGCAAGAGTGGCAGTGTTGGACTCGAAGTAGAGCCTCCTGAAAATGGGTTTCTCCGCAGCAGATGGCGATCGACCAATAACTGATTCCAGAGCCTGGAAAATCGGACTTTCGTCAGCCTGCCCAGGCTGATAGTTGGAAATAAAGGCCATCTTGCCCAGGGAGTCGACTCCATTGACTGTCAGGAGCTTCAGGGTGGCCTCAGGCAACCCGAAGGAGCGCGCTCGTTCCTGGAGCACTGCCAAAGAGTCTAACCCCGACATGGCAGCAGAAGAATACTACTCAATGTGCCCTGACATAAATAAAGCGCGGCTGAAGTGTACCTCAGGCAAAAGTCAGCTTGACCTGCACAAAGACAGAAAGTGTCTGCAGTTTGCCAACTGGTTAAACAACAGCAGTCCACAATCGAGCAAGATTATTACTCAAGCCATCGAGTCAGATTGAATATACGCAGGCGTCGTTGTGGTTATGATCAATCAATCACACTCGCTCAACTGCTGGGTACCTCGGACGGAGAGGCTGACGCAGGCGGGCCTTTTCTTTAAGAAGCCATGCTGGGATTTGGTCCAGACAGCACTATGGCATGGTTTTGGATTAGTCCTCTCGCGTGCATTGGGCGCACCGGGAGTACATGTGTACTGCTGCCCCTTCCAGGAGCAGCTGATAGTTGCCACTGATGGGTCTCCCGCATCGAAAGCGGGTCTCGCTGACCTTGATGCGGATGCAACTTGAAATGGTACGCACATACAACTCCTCATCAGGTGGAGCACATGCAGGGATACCTGGCAGGAGGTCAACCACTTCGTTAGGGTCTCCCTCGAAGTCTTCTGAAGCACAATCATCACTTCCAACCTCAGAGACCGGATTGTCCTGTTCCAAGACTGTGGTCCTATCTTGGGTTACACCCTGTTCAATGAGCATGGACAGTCGATGTACACGGGGCAGATCTGGCTGAAGGATGTCCCTTCTGATTAGATCCAGGATGCCGTGCACTAGGGCTGCCAGGCGGGTTGCCTCGTCACGTGAGTAAGTGAGAGGGCTAGCTGTACGCCTGTCAAGGTGATGCCCTAAAAGACGCCGATCCTCAAAAGAAACGCGGGCGCTTTTGGAGCACCAGCTCAAAACTGTACTCTTCAGAGAGTGAGAACTAACCCTCCAACATTCGTCAGGATCAATGCCACCCTCCGCCAAAATTTCTCTGAGCACAAAAGAAGCCTCACCAGTTGCCAGGCTCCTGTCCAGAAGACGGTCCTCTGTCCAGGAGTACGCAGGAAGAGCATGAGGCAAGTTAGCGGGAAGCCTTCGGCGAGCCTCCTCCCACCCAAAGGCCCATGCGTCATCCTCGAGGCCGAGACCCAGGGCTATCAATGGGAGGAAGGTAGTCTTGCGTTCCTTGGCGGTGGCGACCTTGCGCTTAAGAGTCGAAGTCTCCACAAGAACTGTGCGGGCATTGGAGGTCACCTCTATGCTCTCTAGCTCTTGGCTGTCACCGAACCTGCAACAGGCATAGATGCAGAAGCAAAAGTGCCCCGCTGCCAGGGTCAGGTAGGCTCCGTCCTTGCGCACTGAAGCTACCTCGAGAACACGCACCACTTCAGCAGTAAGAAGGGGAGCTTGGCGCAGAGGTGTCTTGCTTTCGTACATGACCCTTGCAATGCCTCGGACCCTTGAGGACATCAAGAAATCCAGAGAAGGCACCCTTCACTTGAGCCGTCCTGTACAAGAAGCTCAATGAGACCAGCATCGTAGAGCCTACTGTCGCTCCAACCCCTGAATCTCGAAGATGACTGAGGAAACGCCATGTGATGGTTTCTGTCGGCCTCAAGGGGGTGCCAATCTTATTGGACCGGACCCACTTGGCATATCTCCACAGGGAGGCCATATATTTAACCAGAGTTGCCGTAGCTTTGCCAGCCACAGAATCTGAAATTATGACCATAACCTCCTCCTCGCCATCGAGCCGCGAAGCTGCATCCCAGACCATTTCGCCCAGGCGGCTGGCTGAAGGCTCGGCAATGACCAAGATCTTGAGCCTGAGCAAGGCTTGCTTCCTTGCCTCATCAGGTGACTTGATTCTGCAGGAATAGTAAGCCCTGACAGCAGCGAACTCCTCGGCAGCCTCACTTCTAGGATCACGATTTCCAGAAAAAGAGGCCTGCAGAAAGAACTCCTGGGCCCCAACTCTTGTCGCCTCTAGCAAAGAGCGTGGAGCAGCTGCACCAAAGATCAGTGAACTTTGACCAACTTCCCATGGCATCTTGGGACGTACACGAACGTCTAGGCATTGTTCAGTCACATAATCCGCAGGGAGCTTAGGCTCTTCCAGGGTCGCTCGATCATTGCGGAGGAACTCAGGCAAGTCTAGCTTCTGAGGAACTGGTGGAGGCAAAGGAGGAAAAGGCGGGATGCCACCAGCCTCCGAGACCTGCCCAACAGAACGAGAGCATTCGCTTGGAGCTTATAACCATCCGACCTCAAGCCGAGTCCAAGTAGAGGCTCATCATCAGAATCTACCATCGTCGATGTGCTCTGCACTTGTGATGTCTATGCCCTTCTTCTCCTCTAGAGCAGGGGTTATCACAAAAGGCACAAATGTACCCACAGTGACCAGGTCGTAACAATGGAATACGAGTATCCTGAACCGGAACACCAGAGCTAGGTGTGTTCACCCGCAATCTGGATCCCAGCTCAGAAAGAATCGCAGCAGCCAAAGCGAGAAGATCCTCAATTGAGAGATCCCTGATGAAGCGGGTATCCATGTGTTGCCCCCCCTGATTCAAAATTGAAGAGAAGCTTGAGGAAAATGGGCTATACACTCAAGCAGGTTTCCACGGATAGACGTTAATGCTCATGTACGCTTGCATGCAGCATCACTCAAAAGGAATGTTAGACCTCAGGAGGTATCCCCATTCTTGAGACCCATGTTTTCTTCGAATGCAAACACTGTTTCCGCTAAGGTACGCTAATCTTCAAAAGAGGCCTGGACAAAGACGAAGACCAGCAGTGGCCCAACCTGCTCCAGGCTCCTGGCTTCTCCAAAAACCAAAGAAAGACTAAAAGCATCGTCTAGAGAGGATAATGGAGGTTACGAGATGAATGTGGGATCATCACGCATGGCCTTCAGGCAGCTAAAACACAACGCCCGCCCAAATGGCTCGTAAAGCGTGGGAGCCTCAGTGGTGCCTGGCCCACAACGGGTATCTGCACCTGGGTACGGGCCGTTGCAAAGGGTGAGCATAGCTTTGCGAACAAGCTATCACTCTGTGTGCAGGATCTTCAAGACAGAGAAATAATACTATAATGCTGTGGTACTCTAATATTCTAATACGAATCATGCCTAGCAAGCTAGCTTATTTGTTTGCTGCGCTATTGTGGGAATCTGCGCTTCAAGGATGAACGTCCAATGTCTGCTGCATGGACGTGATTCTGGAGCATTGCCGTTACTTGGGCTTGCCAATTTATGCTTATACCAGCAGCATTGAGTTCAGATGTTCGCTAGAAAAACCTTTAAAGGGTGTTGATTACCAAGTTGCTGCACAGGTCTTGTGGACGGGTCTGGTTTCCAGAAGTCGGGGTTCCTCTTCAGGGTCCTGATGCCGGATACCTGTGTGCGGTGCTGTTTGGGCTGATGACTTCTGGAAAGTACAGACCATAGCATTGCGTGGTTGCGTGTTAATACGTCTGTGTACCCTCTGAGAGATCGACGGCCATTGCGGTACCCACCACGAAGAAGGCGGTGTACGCACCTACAACCAACTTCTGGGCATGTGCCAGCCAAAACAGCGTCCCGCAAACTCGTTCACAAGCTTCACGTTCTCATTGCGGTACATTGCTGCCATCAATGCCATTGCACTTATTCACAATAAGAATCCTAGCTATTGCTATGTCCTCTAAGTTAGCCGAAAAGCGGTGCAGACGTGCGGAGTAGTGCAGCAAAGACCTGAGCTCAAAAGAAAGACCAACTGGGTTTAGAGCTATCAGTGAATCCCTCAGCCAACATCACAGACTTTGCTATGCAAATTTTCTGAGAGCCGGTCAGACAGCCCTGGGCGAGGCGAGCCGTTGCACTCAAAAATAACCCAACGCCAGAGCATGCGCAACCAACATCAGAACTGGTATTCAGGAATGCAGTGTCAAAGGTGGGAACCCAATCTTTCGAAATTGTGGAAATATGTCATGGATATGCAGCAATTTAAGTCAGAGGCAAACCCGTTGCTCCTATGATTCGACTTCATTGCAGCTTTGCTTCGGCATGCAAGCCTATGAGGTTGATCACGAAGACGTAGCCTGCTTCTGAAGCACCGCGCGGTTTCAGCTCAGGGTTAGAAAAATTGGGCTCCAGAGTAGACTAGCGTTGGTGGTTAGGGTTTTTTGGGTTTAGGAATCAGGGTTGAAGGTTGTGGGTCAGGAACTCTCTTACATTCGACTGCGGCGACCGAACATCAAGCCACTATCGTAACTTTATGCAAATTCTGAGGAACTCCATCTACCCACGTGCACCATCGCTGAACGTGGCCAACAACCGGAGGCCTCCCCAGGATGCCACCATCCCAAAGTAGGCAAGGCCTGCTGATCAGGGCAAAATAACAGCTGCCAGGTTTGCGGTTTTGATCCGTTTTGTGGATTTCGGGTGTTTTGGGTGTAGGGTATAGGGCCCTCGAAACGTGCCTGCGAGGGCTCCCCAGACCACACTGCTCCCCTGAAGTGCTCGGCACCTGAGTCTGGGGAAAGCTCGACTTTGAGGCTAGGAACCGAAGGAAGCACTATATGAACTGTAATTGTCAACAGCGGCAAATATGAGAGCAACTCAACTCCTAACCATTCTGACTGCCTTGGGATAGCAGCCAGTCCACCAAAGCAATGATGAAGCACAGTACCAAAAAGACTGTTGACAGACGGCGGGTATTGGTAGCATCAATAGGAAATCGCGACACAGGTACTAATGATGGTGGCGGCACCAAAGGTAGAACGTTGCGTTCATGAAAGCGATTGCGACGCACTCCTTAGCATGCTAATCTCATTTCATACCACTGCAGCCCAGCCTAAATTCCAAACTGCAGTGGCACGGCTGCCGAAACAGTCACCAATGCTAGCAAGGGCGCATTATCAAAGCCGCCAGCAACCTAAGGAAGTCAAAAAGCGAGCAAGCCAGGAAAGCTCCACCCCCAGCTTCCTGCCAGGACACTGATCGTAGCAAGTGGGCCTTAAACTAGTGAAGCACAAACACTCAGAACGTGGCAACCACACCGCTGAAGCAGCATGTAAGCCTTGGGCAGGGATAATTGCACCGATAAAGGTGGCAAACACCGCGGAGTCAACGGACTTTGTGCCTTAGGCTTGCGTTGGTCTTACGGCCCGTGCAAGTAGGATCTCCATGCAGAGTAAAGCGCACTCAAAGGTAAGAAGGCCGAGGAAGATGGTGGAGGCCACACCAAACCAGGCGGGCATAAACACACAGACCTTCAGCAAAGCACTCTGCTTGGTGCAAAGCAGGACTAGCTAGCCCACTTGAGGGAAAGTGAATTAATGAATTTCATCCTCCAGCAGGTACTCCAATGCAGTAGAGACGCATCATGAAGCGTCATCTCCTGCAGGGAGCCATGTACGCCATATGCAAAACTCTCAAAACGCCACAATCGCCGAAAAACATCGTGTAGTGTTCAGTCATGTTCATGGTCATGCCTACACCCAGCCCCCAATATTAGCAAACAAGTAACTATCCCCCATTTAGAGAAAAACGACAAACACGGAAACAAGAAACAGTAGGGGCAACAGCAGCAGTGGCTGCAGCAGTAATGGAAGCAACCCTGCGGCCGCAGCCGGAGCCGTAGCCTTGTCCGTAGTCGTAGTTGTGGATGTAGCCGTCGCAGTGGTTGTGGTGGCGGTTTGGGTGGTATCGGTAGTATCGGTGGTGTTGGTGGTGTTGGTGGTGTTGGTGGTGTTGGTGGTGTTGGTGGTGTTGGTGCTGGTGGTGGCGTTTGGGGGAGGCGGCAGCGGCATTCTAATCACCGGACCCAAAAATCTGTGGCCTGCCCAAGCAGCCGCAAGCCATGCCAAATCCACACGGCGATCTCAGGGGGGCATGGCTAGAATGACAAGCATACGGGTTCGGGTTTGAAGTATAGCGCTTTCAATATGACACTGGAGCCACCTCTTTGTCAGCCCTCCCTTATGCCCACATGAGAATACAAGTCTTCAACATCAAAAGAACATTGTGCCGTCATGAAATTGCATTACGAACGCAAAAAGAAGCACTGCAACAGATCTAGATGTATACGAAGCACACATATGAAAACAGCTGTGCTAAAAAGACTCGGAATATTCTTCCAATTTCAAATCGATCGTGCTACAGGGTTTCAACCGGAAAAACGAATGAAAAGGCAAGGCACAAACTGCATCCCAGGATAGATTGTCGTTCCAACCGGACGTCCCAGAGGGTACCATACTTGCCGATCATACCATCGGAAGAATGATTCCTCAGAATCATTTTTTGGGCAACCTCGAACCAGAAGTATGCCCATGATGCTGACAGGCCACAGGTCCGTTTGCCGCCAGGTATTCTGCGGCCCTGTAGTGGAACCAGGGATCCTGATGGGTAGTCTGACAAATTGAGGTCAAGAAGATTCTGATTGATTGACTTCACGCTGACTCAGGGGCTCACGAACTCGTGGATTACACGCCCGAAGTTCCTTGGTTCTAACACGTAAGGTGGCTTTCAACCCACGAGTTTGGTTGCTGCTGGGCCACTGCACGGCAAAAAGACGGATGTAGTATGCAAATGCCAGCGCCAGCAAGAGAACGTTGATGCGCCAAACCGCAGCTGCTATGATTCCGACGGCCATGCACGGCCATCAAGGCGAATGTCACAACCAAATATAAAGTTTCAAACTTACCAGACCAAACATGGGCACCTCAAGCCATAGATTTCTGAACAAAATGTGACGCAAGTGGACGCGCTTCATGACAATATTTCGTGCAGCTTGAGCACGCACTGGCCATGCAGTGTTTGCTTTCGATGTTGCAATACGTGCCACTGCGCTGTCATGCAAAACTGCCTGGCCGGCCTTGAGACATGGTCCTGCCAGACTCACACGATGAATAACATCAGCAAATCTCAAGCTAAAGGCATCATATGCATGAGCCTCCCTTCGTCTTGGATATGTGCTTCCAGGTCCTCCTCTCCGTGGCTGTGCGACCCTCCCTTGGGGAGGACCAATCAAAGCCGACACGGCTGCAACGCAGAAAGCGTAGCATGTTGCTTGAAGCCAGGAGCCCGTTGCTGCGATCAGTGCACTTGCACAGTCATTATTTTGAAACTTGAGCAAAACGAAATCTGGTAAACATGGGCAAAAAACGATTGAAACCAAGCAACTTGACAACCCGGCGCCAATGGACCCATTAGATGTGGGGAATGTCGCTGCAAGCAAAAATGAGTCACACCAAAGCTGCGAAACATGAAACGACCAGTGTACCAAAGGATACCGGAGAATGAGAAATTGACAAAAACGTCTTTCAAAACAGGTGGCATTTGAGCATTGCAAGGGTGAAAAGTGCTGCCACGCGCCGCAACACTAAGAAAAAATTGACGGATTGTCATCAAAATCACACGAGAGGAAAAACAAGTTGGCTTACACTTGAGTGGCGATTTTTGGTGGTTGAACCCAATAAGAATATATTCCTTACAGAAATATTGTACCCGAAAAAGGAGGATACCATCTTACTTTACGTTGGGGACAATTATAGTCTCCCCACGTTGTGGCTCTGCTGAGATGGAACATCCGTGTCTTGTGTATACATAATTATCTACTTATACGTTTGAAAATCCCTAGTGGTTTGGTAGACAGACTAGTCTGTTACGTCAGCTTGAAGTTCCAGATTCAGGAAAACTTCTTAATCAGTATCATGTGTCAGTTTATTTGTGACTCCCACTCGGAAGCTTCAACCAGCGAAGTATATAAACAGAAATTTGCACAAGCAAGCACACCACCTCAACAACGTAGCGGGGCTCGGCAGCGATATTATTTGACCGTTACTGAACAAAGTTCCATCCCACTCTGTAAGGCGTCTGTCTTGGATGTTTTTAATGATGCCAGAAGCAAGGAACCTTCTAGGAGGGGTTCGGATTGAGACACACATTGTCATGGAGGCGAAGCCCTTAAAGCCCATCGCAAAGGTAGAGGCATGCCAGAAAATCAATTGCAATGCACGTTTCGTTTCGCTGATGCGATGTTGTGCATCTCCGGCAGTGGCAGGCATTCTGCTCGCGCGTGAGCATCGCTGCCTCGTGCTCCGCCTGGGCAGTCATGTGTGGCAAACGCAACTTTATTCTAGCACCTACTCAACATGCATCCCTTGTGACGTTAGCTTCTTCTGCTGAAGCGTTTTTTCCAGTACGTAGACTCTGCCCAAGCATCGATTCTCCTCTCAACCTTGCTGGTGAGGCAATTCGGGCCTGTGTAATGCAAGCCCGAAACAACCTCACGACTGTTGCTGGGATCACAAGAAGGTGGAGTGAAGAGGAGTGGAAAGTGCAGTGGATTAGGATGATTAAAGATTAGAATGGAGTGGGGTGGATCTAGATCGGGACGCAGCGCGAGCGGAGCGGAATTGCAAACCACACACGCGTGCGTGTCTGTACAACCCCATACAACCCACAAAAAATCGCAACAAAATCCTAAAGTTGAGAAACCACAACCCCCTTTACAAAATCCTACGCAACCTGCCAATAAAAACCTTAGAACCTGCAACAGTACTTTTAGACACCTCATAAGACTCAGTTTGGCATTACAGCACTCGACTACAGCCATAAAAAAACGGAAAGGCCTCCGGCAGGCGAGCATCTTGAGTGAGGCAGAAGAATTCCATGCCTTGAGATCATAGATGTGGTTTGGCAGGCATAGTCATGAGCGCCAACTTCTCAGCGCGCAATGGAGTTTGACAGCCTCCTGCAAGGCTTGCACAAAATTTCGTGTGGAATTTCGGCACACGTGGCTTCTCATTTTGGGTCTACGCTTGCATTATCAGAGAAAAATCTGCAACCTTCGAACTCAACAAGCGGTGCCTTGTGGGCATCAAACCAAAGCGAGGTGACTGCTCAAATCATGACCCAGCCTCGTCTCGTTGGTCAAGGCGGATTCCTTCGGGGTTCTTCCGTAACCGAACGTTACTGTATCGGTTGGATCAAGAAAAAACATACCTTTCGCGCAAACGCCCACAACCGGAAGATAAGCAGCATCAGCGTCACCTTTGCTCACGCTCGCAGCGCTCAGCGACGAAAGATTCAGCGAGCACAACAACACCGCCATGGCTTCCGACGTTCTCGGACTCCCGAGCTTTAAGCACCATCCTGAGAAAACGTGCGCTCTTGCAGGAATGCGGAAGACGCATGAGTTCCCTTCCTGAGGGCCGCGCGACCCAGCCGATGCTTTGGCTTGGGCGGCGTTGGCAGGCTTGCGCCGCAGCGGCGTTGGCTTGCGCCGCAAGTACATCCTGGCAAAACCAAGCCACAGATAGACATCGTCATGACAGTCATAAGAATGAAGATTGCGCCTTGCCATTCTTGAAGCTTTTGGTATTCATGGTGAGCGAAGCGTGCGGGAGCGAGACGCGGAGTGAGAGATCTTCGAAGTGGCTGCAGCAACGGAGTAAACGCTGCACAACAGCCACGAAGCCGGTTGCAGCAAACCCGCGCAGCCGACAACTTCATGCATCACGCGCACTAGACCTCGAAAACGACATGGTCCTTGCCTCTTTCTCGCTCACCTTCGCTCAGTACTTGTGTGCTCGAGCAGACCGAAGCCACAAGCGTTGACAGGAGAATATGGCAGGCTATGCCAAGGAACTCATCGCCTACTCACTACATGTCACTATATTTCACTACTCTTCGTTGGTTCTTGCTGTCCCTGCTGTGGTTTCTGCTTCATGCACATCAAAAGCCCCACAAGCACCATTCTCTTCTCCTGCACAGGCAGAGGTCCATCC